GCCTCAGCCTCCCAGACAGCTAGGATTACAGGTGTGAGCCACTGCGCCCAGCCTCCATATTGTGATTTTTGAAGAAAAATTTATAAGTATCTTGGTAATGAGAAAGGATTACTGCCATTTCTAGTTCCCCAAAACGCACTGTTAGATCAAAGAATAACTGACGTAGTATTAACATTTTCTTAAACAATTTGTCATAACAGTACTTTTTTTCTTACTTGAGATCATCTCTCCAAATGTTAGGCATTCAGAATGTAAAGTAAAATCTCACTTTTACAGAATGAATATTTCAAAAATTGTTCCAATAAGGTATCTCTAGGTTATACTTTTCAAGAGATAACTATATAAAATAATGCAAATCCTGGCTTAGGATTTTAATAGAAAGCAATCCAGCCCCTTACACTGTAAATCAAGTGAATGATTAGCTAAATCACTGTTTTCTCTTGTTCCCTTGAAATGCTGCAACTTTGAAAAAGGGTTTAACTTTTATGTCACACTCCAGTAAGAAAGTTTATAAAACCAAACATTTGTCACCAAAGTTTTTAGAAAAATCATACATACACACATGTATTAAGGTAGACAAACAAACCTGAAGTGTTTTAACATTGTTTTGCTATTATGTAAAAGTTAACGTTGCAGTCTAGGAGTTTAGCCATTCATAAGTATATACTGGCAAATATAATCTCTACATAGCAGTTTAAGATATGTATAATAAAAACAGCTTTTATTTTATTCTTTATACACGGTAATTTTAGTTAACTACCATAAGCATGAAAAATAATTTCCAATCACAATTTACCTTGTCCTTAGAGCAAGCCAAGCAGCTTCAATGTCTGCATAGAGATTCTTTTCTGTTGGTTTCCCAGAACTTGCACCATATCCAGAATAATCATAGGAGAATATATTACAATTAATCCGTGATCCTAGTCCTATGTAAAAGCTGCTCATCTGACCAAGATCAACAGCATTTCCATGTGAGAAGAGTAAAGTGTATTTGGCATTGGGTGAGCAACGCACAAACATACAGGCAATTCTGTTGCCTTTACTGGTTCTAGTCATGAAACACTCAATAGCATCTTTTTCTCTAGAAGAGTACTGCCAGTCTGCTCGTTCTGACAGATGTAAAGTCCAGCGGCTTCCACTTTCATCACACATCAGTGTGTAAGTTGGATCAGGTGGCAAAAATGCTAATTTTGAAGCAATTTTCCCTGGGCAAGGTGGACAGCAGAAGAGGCAACATAGCTCACTAAACGAAAGATTGTTCATCTTCTGAAAAAGAAAATGAGATAGCAAATGTTTTAGTAACTGAGTATGGATTTTGCATTCTCATATATTAATAATAGAAAGTTAAAACAAAGACATGGGTAAATTTTATTGGTGGTCAATGACTACTACTGCTATTATTTCAAGTATCCTTCCAAACACATTTTTGGCATCTTTCTAGAAATACTTTAAATCCTGGGATGAAGCAAATATTCCACACAAGTAGACATGCTCAAATACTGCATGACATGTTTTAAATAGTACTGATTATTACCTCATTTAACAAAAAATGTGAAAAATACAGAGATAATTTTTGCTATTTCTCCACAAATAGCAACACCGAAACCATGAAATACCGTTAGTGTAGTCTGTAATTTCTGTGTAACTCAGTGAAAATTCTCAGAATCCCATGGAGAAGCTAGTGATTCAAATGATAAAGTAAAAATATAATAGCATTTATGTAGCACTATTTGTCAGGCACTGTGCTAGGTGCTCTATGTATATTATACTTTGTTTAATCCTCAAAATAACCTTATAAGTTAGTGTGAGAAAAGAAACTTGCATAAGGTGAGGAGCAGGGGAGCCAGGATTTGACACCAGGCTCAGTCACTATGCCACATCACTGGGCTACAGTGTCTCGCAGGTTCAAACACCATTGGTCTTAGAAACCTATCATTTCAGCCACAGTGTCAGTGGCCCAAATAACACACAAACCATAAAAATGTACATATGTGTGCATGTATGAACATAATTATTGCCCAAATTTAAAAGGCTATAATATAAAAGTGTTTATTATGGAAAAAAACATAAAATCTGCTGAAGGTACAATTTCCTAAATGTTTGGATGAGAAAGGGCACAAGGTTTAAAATTAGAGGGCTGCGGTGGAATCCCAACTCTACTACTTATTGTACTGGCTGTGAGTCCTTGAGCGAATTATTTACCTCTTTGACTATTTTTTTTTCCATAAGCAAACAATTCCAAATGAACAAAGTGGTTGTGATGATGTAGTGAAGGAATATAACACAATGATGGCCAATAGTTGGCACACCCAAGAATGATCAACTTTCTCCTATGATTTTTCATTAATATAAAAAAAAATCCAGCTCATATTAACGTAGGGACAAAAATAAAGTAATACTTGTTCACTCTACTGCATTTCCTTCTATCTTGTCCTTTCTTAAACTCCTGTCTCCTTTTGGCAGAATTAGACCATTGCTTAGTTCAGAGAGAAGGTATTCAAAACAAACACCTTACAGAGGTTTGGTGGCACCCAATATTCTGGAAAAAATGGCTGTCATCATTATACCAAAAATGAGGAGGGGGGCGGGGGGAGAGGAATCACCTCAGGGGAGTGACAAGAGTTTAGAATATTTGGAAAGAAAGGAATGCTCTCTTCACTCACTAGCAGATTAAAATTTATTCTATAATGCTCAATACGAATGTGTTAATTTTCCAGTGTAAACTAATTATGTAGAAAGAAGTAGCAGAAACAGCGTAGGAAGAGATGGAAACAAGTATAGATATGACACAAGAGTCTTCAAAACATGAGTAAGGGAAGAACAGAAAACATCTTGGATACTGGGAAATGCTTTCACTTGCTATTCTACCTTTTTACTCCTTTCAAGCCTTCAAAACAATTACAGCCTGAATAAGTTAATATCTTATTCTGGTTGGAACAAGATTTAGAACAGAAATGACAACTAGGTGTCTTAACTCTAATTGGCTCCCTGAAGTGTTGTGCTGAGAATGATTCTGAGGGCATGCCCAGACAGGGCTTATCAGACAAAGGATGTGATAAATTAGTAATGTCTACTGAAGAATCTGGCTACAAATTTACTATCCTCCAAAAAGCCTAGTGAAGAAGATGGAAGGGAAGGAGTTCAAAAGGGTCTGTTCCAAATAAGGAGATGACCTGGAGAAAGATGATGAGGTAGAAGGTACACTATATCAACGCAGTCTGTTTAATAATCTGCCTACGGTTATTTCTCAACCCCAATTACCTCACATGCCATCAATTGCTCATCCACAACAGCCAATTAACAGCTTGATTAATAAGTAAACTACGTATGTCTAGACTGTATTCCTATAATTTACCTCTTAACCAGGAAAACTTTTGTATACTACAATAAATTAGTTTTGGAACAAACCTGGCTGGCTGAACATACATAATGCTGTGGAGGTGCTTCTGGGGATGAACACAAAAGCAAAAAGAAGAATAGTTGCAGTGTCAGGGTCTAGTTTACTGAAAAGACAACTTTTTACTTTAATGGTGGCAGAAGAAATCATTTCCACCTCCACTGCCCCAAAGCCAGATAACTGGGGCCCATTTAATAACAACTTGCAAATTATCATTTTCCTAATAATAGGTCTGATATAAGGCAGCAACACAGATCTACTTTTATAAAAGTAATTGTCTCAAAAGGGGTAATCTCTATGGGGGGAAAAAGTGCCTCCTTTTCAGTAAGTTTGAAAAATTTCACAAAAAGTATAAAAAAAACAAATCTAAATTTTAGTATGCTCTGAGCAAGTTATTCAGGCAAAATAGTTTATTCTTGATTTTAAAATCACTGAAATAGTTTGTTTAACTTAGATCAATTCAAGCCCTTGTTCTTATAAAACTCATTGAATATTGATTGTCATTAGGATTCTATATTTAAACAAACAAACAAACAAACAAACAAACAAACAAACCTACCTCACAGAACAAAGATATCATTTACTAGCTATTCCTTGGCAAGAAAATCTGAAGAGACAAGGCAGTGAATAATA